CACAGAGTACCCGTAATAGGTTGATTTTAATCACAATCATTAAATATAATTGTATGTAAACAATTTAGGAGGTTATTATTAGTTCATTAGGAGATTATTATTTAACTAATCTCAATAATATTGAGACAAATGCAAAATAGCACATAAAAAATATCGTACAGTAGTTGGTTGTTTGTAGCACTGTGTACTCACGATTGTTTGATTAAATTACACACACACTAAATATAATTTTTATGTATACATCTAATTAGGAGGTTATTATTTAACCTGAATTAATTCAATGTATTGTGACAAACACAAAATAGCATAATCATTATGGTTAATTCAACTACAAAAAAAAACATCAGTCACCAGTGTCAATACTATTTTACAAACAATTTAACAAATTTGTAATAATTAACTGTACTTCTAGTATACTAATACAGTATTTCATGGCATACAAGTCATGTTTTGTATGTTTTTTTAACATATTTTTTTTCAGATATTTTTTTTAATTATTGGTTTTTGTGGTTAGCACCATCAATTGTAACATTTTTCTATGGTTTTAATATAAAGTGGGTAATTATGTGAATATAATAAAGGATGAAATGTAATGTCAGTTACCATGGAATTACCCAATATATAGCATATGATGTAATTAGAAAAACAAAATACTGTAGTGGTGGTTTGTAGCACCCATTAAATTGACTGATTAAATCACTTCTTGCAATATTTTCATGTCATGGGTGTATGCAAGGGGAGTCGGGAAGGTCGTACGACCCCCAAAAATGTTCAAAGGTTCACAATTTTTCCAGACATTTTTTTCTAGGGACTTTTCACAATGACATAAATAAAAAATCATTGATGAGGTACAAACAATGAGTCCAAAAACTTTGCCAATTGTGCAACATACTGTAATCTATCTCAATTCCATAAATTTTGAAACTGAGCCTGCCATCTGCTTCAAGCAAATTGTATTGATATTTTAATCACATCTTGCTGTTATTTCATTGTTAAAAGGTCCAAAAAATTATGATCACGACCCACCCAGAAAAAATCCTCGATACACAACTGCATGTATTAGGAAGTTATTAAAATTTCACTAAGATATTTCATACTTATATTTAACTTTTTCCTAATAATTATTGTCGTTGGAGGGCAACCCAGATACTTAACATGAAATTAAACATTTCTAATTAAACACACAAAAAAAATCATACATCTTAAACAAAATTTTGAAGGAAATGAAACTTCAGAAAACAATAGTGTAGAAAGTGCTATATATTAAAAAGTCTATTGAGTGAAAGTAGATAAACTTTATTTCAACTGAGTAAACAGCTTTAAGTTATTTGTGATTACATTGTTTACTGGAATTAACTACAAAATAATGTTAAATAATTGTTTGTTAACGATTCCCAGAACTATACCTTTAAGACATGATTGACTGATAGCAAGCTATATGTTCAATGATTACTGTGAACAAAAAAATGTTTTTAGTCCAACATACACGAAATGTCATCAAATACACATTTAACAAATATTAATGTTATTTTGGCGAGTTTGGGGTATTCTGTTAGTGCTGGGGAGAACACTCAAGAGTTCACGCACAATTGAATCCATCCTCTCATTTTCCCTTTCATAAATTTAAGTCTGCTGCAAATAGGAAAAACAAAACACAAGTGAGCATGATAGGTACATAAAAAGAAACTGACAATAAAATAATAACAATCCTAACTTGCATAAAAACAATAAACATAAATTAAGTCTATACAAAAATTTAATTTGCAGTAGTACTAGTAATACTCTGGATTAGCATTGTTTTAGTTAGCATATGAGAATATCCTGTATTAAAAACATGATTTACTATACTATACTTCTTTATAAAACATAACTTGTACTTTATAATAAGAGAAATCTAAATATTATCGGTACCTGGAACAGTAACACGAAAGTACTGTACTATGCTACTGCACTGTAATGCATAGGCCTATTTTAAGACACTACTTAGACAGGCTTTTCCATCTTGATTTCAAAGGGCACAAAAATTTTTCAATATTTTTTTGAAATCATATAGTGGTGTAGACTAGTCTTTTAAGAACATTTTGCTGGAAAAATATTTTGGCTACGACGCCCCGTTCTGGAGTTATAATATTTTAAATAACATGATGTCAGAAAATCAGCCCAAAAGCTTATCTTATTTCTGTTAATTACGCACCGCTGATTCGCAATGTTTGTTGTCATCACTTCAAAATGTATACCGGTAATTCGTGGAAAAGGCCTATCCTCCTTTTCCTATCCTCCTATGCCTAGACCTACTACTAGAGCTAACTAGGCTAAGCCTATTACCTAGGCCTAGTACTATTTATAATATTATTTATACCCGCGGATCACCTTATCCAGGCATTGCTGCTAGGCCGCTACTATAATACATAACACAGGCATTCTTTCAGAGCATAAACCTGCTGAAAGTCTCATCATTGGTTAGAATACCTCGAAACGCTCTAGCATTTCAAATAGTTCAAATGTTCCCAAATTCTTTTCAAAACACACCCTGGAAATTTCTTTTCAAGAAATTCATCAACATTCTTCATCAATGTACCAAATTATCATCACTCTGCAGCCCTAAAAGTCGATCAGTACTTTAAGGAGGGTCTCATAACGGCAATAAACTTATATGACATATATTTTTTTTTTGTCTAATTTTTTTATTTTTTATTTATTTGAACGTTCACTGATATTATTGTGTTTATTTTTATTATTTAATTTGTATTTTGTGATATTGTTATAAGGCCTATTTCTTATTATTATTACTACTACTGTACTGTTTTATTATTATTATTTTTAATTAATGTCATTATATAATCGTTTTGTCACTATTTTATATTTTAAATTATTTAAATGTGTACTGCTTTTATATTGTGTTTCGCCCAATATTATTATTATTATTATTATTATTATTATTATTATTATTATTATTATTATTATTATTATTATTATTATTTGGTTCATTGCTGTTTTGACCCATTGCTATTCTGGTAAAAAAGTGTCAATCAGAACGAACACTTTTCTTAATTAAACAATTCCATCTTCTTTAAAACTGTGTAAAAATACGTAGGCTTAGACCTATCGCCTCAAAACACCGAACGCTTTTCTATTCATTTCGTACCACGTTTCTCTGTCTAGCTGATAAGTCAGGCCTTGCTTGAATGGTTATCAGCAGAGGGGTGTAGGGTATTATATCGAATAGCTGACCAAAACCTTACCAAAAACAATGATTAATATCATATCTTCGTAAGTACTTGGCCAATTTTAATGGGAAAAGCGGGAAAATGTTCAAAATCATGAAATAAAACATTATTCGTAGCCCACTATATAATTTATGGCATAACATTATAAAATAAATGTGCATCAGTCAATGATTGTTTATGTGTAGGTGTGAAAACCTAAGAGATTAATCACCAGATAAAGGCTAATCCTTTTTTTTCATTTATCCATGGACTTCAACCTGCAATGTACTACAAGCACCACCTTGTAAGATGCGATGGCAGGCACTCTCCTCAGACTCAAATTTGTTTGAATAAAATTTTCTTTTCTCCATTTTTTTTTTCATAATTTAAATTTTTAACAAATTTAGGAGGCCCAGACCTGCTCCTGTGGAAATCCGCCACTAAACTGAATAGGCCTTTTTCACGAATAATAATAATAATTCACGAATCGGTAGACATCATGAAATGATGACAAACATTGCGAATCAGCGGTGCGTAACCAACAGAAATAAGATAAGCTTTTGGGCTTATTTTCTGACATCATGTTATTTTAAAAAATCATAATTCCATTACGGAGCACCGTATCCAAAAAATTTTCCAGCAAAATAAAGAAAATTTTATTCAAACAAATTTGAGTCTGAGGAGAGTGCCTGCCATCGCATCTTACAAGGTGGTGCTTGTTACAAGCACCACCTTGTAAGATGCGATCAAGCACCACCTTGTAAGATGCGATGGCAGGCACTCTCCTCAGACTCAAATTTGTTTGAATAAAATTTTCTTTTCTCCATTTTTTTTTTTCATAATTTAAATTTTTAACAAATTTAGGAGGCCCAGACCTGCTCCTGTGGAAATCCGCCACTAAACTGAATAGGTCTTTTTCACGAATCGGTAGACATCATGAAATGATGACAAACATTGCGAATCAGCGGTGCGTAACCAACAGAAATAAGATAAGCTTTTGGGCTTATTTTCTGACATCATGTTATTTTAAAAAATCATAATTCCATTACGGAGCACCGTATCCAAAATTTTTTTCCAGCAAAATGTTCTTAAAAGACTATTTTACACCACTATATGATTGAAAAAAAATTGAAAAAATTTTTTGACCTTTGAAACCAAGATTTAAAAAGAAAAGCCAGTAGTGTATTAAAATAGGTATATGCATTACACCCTGAAAAGTGCAATATATTATCTATTTCGTTAAAAAAGAATATTTTAAAGCACAGTTATTTAAACAATGGCAATCCCATAAATCGGGTGCATTCACACAAAGACCTTGGTATTTTCATTGCTAGCCCCCTTAGTTTTTCTCATCATGTTGATTATCTTGTTGGCAAGTGCAATAGACTGCTTGGGCTGATGTGGCGCAATTGCAAAAACTTTGACAGTCAAACTAAACTACATCTTTATTTCAGTATTATTCGCCCAAATTTAGACTTTTGTTCAGTTATATATAATTCTATTTCCAAAACCCAAGCTTCACGTATTTATCGATTACATAATCGCTTCTTGTGCTACATCAGCCACAACCATAATCAGTCCCCATAAATAAATAAAAATAAATAAATACAGAAAATATTTATGATTCTGCGCATCTATTTTCTTAGCAATTTTTCACTTAACAGCACTGATAAATGCATTGTGGGCAGACCTTCCTTTTGTAAGATCTTTATTAAATCTATAAATAGTTATATAATATAATAAATAATGCTTTAAGTTTGAGTAATACTCTCATTAAACATTTTAAAATAATGTCATTCTTTTTTTGTTTAATTTGCAGGTGTCACAAATGTAGTAGACAGTCATCAATGCTTAGTTACATCAGAGAAAGGAATAGATATTGGAAGGTACAGTTAACATTGTATCCCTTCTTTACACATGTATTAGGTACAGTTCAGTAAACAGACATCAATAGGTTTCAATCTGTCACTGTTTTAAAAATAATAATTGGTCAATCTTAATTGATCTCATTTGCTAAAAGCCTCAATGGACTAATTAAAAATCTGGAATAATGTAAATTAGAATGATGTGTTTTGAGTAGTTGTTTGAATGTAGTGATGTTAGTTTCTTGTCGATGGTTGGTGAGTTGTTCCAAAGGGCAACTAAAACACACAGAATCTATGATAGGCTTCCATAAAAGGTTTTTTTTTTTGTTTGTTTGTTTTTATTTATTTGCATGATAGGGGCCTACATACTGTACATCACAGTGAACAAAAAAATTAAACATAATTTGGCAGAATTACAAGTTAATATAACGTAAAATAAGACTTCTATAAAACTGATTTAGTTACATATGTAAATTTTCTATCTTGTACTGTGAAATCAGGGTAACGTACTCTACGGAGTTAACAGTTTAAGCTTGGTTTCCATACAGTTGATACACGCTATCGGCAACAGCTTTTGGTGATTGGTCAGTCAAATCGGGGAGCCTTTCCCATTGATTTGGAGACTGCCACACATTCAACAATTACACTGAAAACACTGTTAGCGATTGTATGGAAACCAGTCTTCACTGTATGAGACTGAGACTTACAAAACACAGTACATATGTTCATTTTTACTCCTGCTTGCAGTACATATAGAGAACTATACTGTGTTATGTGTGATGAGATCCTGGGCCGAGTTTATCAAACGACACCAAGGCATTTGGACAATTTAAGAGATGTGTTCACGCTGGATATTCCCAAAATACAGAGGTAATGATAATACCGTCGTAGTCAGTGGCGTATATAGGGGAGGGTGTGGAGGCGCACACTCCCTTTAAAAAGAATTGCAATATCAACCAGTGGCCCCCAACTGAAAAATTTCGAAAGCAAAAAACACCACAATCACCTTATATCAATATCACCTTTATGAGCTAGTGCTCCCTCACTTAGACATCGTGCCCCCACTTCACCTTTGTCCCCCATCAGCCCCTCCCCCCATTTGAACATTCATAGGTATGCCACTGATTATAATACAAGTATCTACAGTAGTGTGTGCATTCTTTTGAAACATAATTTAATAATTTTATAATTGTTACATGTAACAGGAACTGACCTCTGTACAAACAAACAAATACAAACAATACAAACCTCATACAAACAATGAATGTACAATAGTGGTGATATCAATAACGGGTTGAGGAGAATAACAGTGACAATAGTGTGACAGCAAAACTGGTAGTGGTAAGATGATCATGATGATAAACTATTATTATCATCATCATCATTGTCATCATCATCATCATTATTATTATTGCAGTTTTATTATTGTTCTTACAATGGTTATTGTTATTATTATTAGAAACTTTTTTTAAATTGCATTTTTATTGAATAATGCTATTACAGTATGTGTAATAAACAGTTTTTTATCTTCAATATTAATATATCAAACTAAACACATCTAAACTAAATGTATTTTACGTGGCTACCCTTGGGTAAAAAGTTAAAAATCACAAACCTGTAGAACAAATAGATATCTCAATTCATTCGTCCCACTTTCCATTAGAATTCTTAGTCAATATCAAATAAGTTCTAGGACCTAATTATAATTATATTGTTGTTGTTTTGTATTAATCCTGCACTTTTTTTTTTGATGTGATGTACTAACTGATTTTCCGAAACGACAGAAATAAAGAATCTTGAATCTTAAACTTGAATGTTTGTTAGCTATCAAGTTGGAAGTGGAGAGCAGGTGGGAGATTTTGATACTGGTGATATGCTTGACATGCCATCATCTAGAGCTTTACAAGATGATCTCTTTAAGGTTTGTGTCATCTCTTATTAAATATAGAGTATATTAAGGATACAGGAGAATCATTAATCTCCCAATTGGAGACATTGTTTTATTTTTGATTCTGCTGAAGGCGCTGATCGAAGAGCCTCACTGCTGTCCTTGTTCTTGTTTTTGTTCTTGTTGCTAGAATTTTAAAAGCATCCAGCATCGCAAGTTTTCCACAGACGTGCAGAAAATTTAGTCACATAAATGAAGGTGAAATTCAACAAACGTTCATCGCCCTCTTTTTAAGTTGGACCCCAGGGTTCCCTTTACACTCTACAAATCAAAACAGGGGTTTTAGCAAGGGCTGTACATTACTGCCATTATTGTACCACTAATACAGCATGTTGCATGGATAGCGCGGTCGATTAGGGATGTGTTCTAAAGAACTTAAGGTCGTGAGTTTGAATCACGCAATTTTAAGATATAATTTTTTACAAATAAACGTTCTAATTATTTAAAAATTTATTTCGTATAAGCTCTTTCCAAAAACCCAATATAACAACTTGCGCCTGTACCGTATTTAAGCGTGGAGGAAGGCTTAAAAACCGCTGAGCGGTCGCTCCTGTTTAGTCTAGATTACCCCCTCAACACTCATTTTGTAGGAGTAAAGGGAGGAGCATCGCTTATGCCGCCTAATTCTCATGGGAGGTTTATTCTGCCAGAATTAAAACTCAATGCTGGCCAGGTTTTAATCAAGATCATCAGCACAAGAAGCAGAAACAATACCTCTTCAAGGATGACATAAAGTTTTCTGTATCTGTATTGGAGGGGAGTTGTATTTGATGGATTTTTACTATTTATTATGATAATATCAATATAAGCTTTACAAGTACTCTCCCCCCTCCAAATATGGTATCTAAATTGGTCCAGATCCTGTACCTATATCAAGCCTTACCCTTACATGGCACAATTATCACCTCACATTATGTTGTACTGCCCTCTTTTGGTAGTGTGTGCTTTTCTTATTTTGGTAGGAAATAAGTTATAAGATTGTATACAATTTTAAAAACTTTATTCACACTTTCACAACAAATTTGTTTGAATTTCCCATATATGGGTATGATGATGTCACACCACATCCAAAGAAGGGTATGATGTAGAACTGATCATTTCAAATATTAATTTCTTCCGAGACATTTTTTATATGTTTAGCGAACCCGCCGCCCACCAAAAACGAGAATTTGGAATAAAATTAAACTTTTATATTTTTATTTTTGTCTAACTACTGCACCTGCCACCACGACAAAATAGATATTCCAGAAAAAAGTAAAAGGGTTTTTTTTATATATATTTATTATGCCCACCGCTGCCTTGAAATCTCCAAAAATAAGAATTGCCTGTTTCTATTCATAATTATTTAAAGCATCCAATTACTATGTTTACATTCAACAATAACATTTTATTTTTATTTTCTGCTTTGTCTGGATGTTTTTGCAAAAGTCTTTAGAAAATAAGAAACAAAATTTTATCTTTAATCTTCCACCCTCCTATAACGATCTTTAAAAAATAATTTCACGAAACAAAGTATAAAAAGTCTTGCCTAGGCTTTGCTAGTCTCTAAATCTTGGTCCTGTCTTCTGCCAACAATACCTCCATCTGCACTGCTCTTCTTGGAACACTTTTTTTTATCTTTTTTTTTTTTTTTTTTTTGTTATTGCAAGTGTATATTCGTATAAGCGGATGATAATACTTAATAGCCCAATCCGAATTTTGGAGCAAATAAATATTGAATATTGAATTGAAAATTGAATTGATAGTGTGTATTCAGCTTTATTTGTTTCATTTGTGTTAGATTAAAGCTACAGTTTGTGCCTTGAACGAACGACTTGTCAACTTGGAGGATGCTCTGAAATGTCATGAGCCGGAAGAAATAATGGATGAAGAAGAGAACCAAGAAATCATAAATGAAAAGGAGGACGAGATGAATGAGGCGGATGATGAGGGAGAATGTAGACTAAATCATATGGAGCGTCTCCTGGATAAAAACAATGCAGGAAGTGCGAACTCTTCAAGTGACTCTGCATCCATTGTTAGTGATGTTTATGATAGAAATAAAATTGGAAACAAACAACCATTTCCAAATGACAATCAACATAGAATTAAGAGAAAGCGAACAAGATGAAGATGGCATACAGTATCTCATTGTAGTCGTATTCCTTTCATTGCTCTAGATATGACTCTGAATAAACAGATTAAAACACATTTTTCTATTTAGTAAACATAGAACTGCTGTTTCTATTTACGTGCATGTTGTTTGTAAGTCTATTAATAATTAATAATAAACAAAACTATACATTTATCTGTTTACCATAGTTGCTTTTATGCTTGTTTATTATCTTTGTCTCTTATATAACTGGCTTTACCTGAGGCAATGAGGAAAGACTATGTTCTGTTTTACAAACATAGTAAGTTTAGTTTTTCTCTGGTTTTGTTATTTGCACACCATAATGTATTGGAATAAACACCCTGCTTTGAATAAACGCGTTCCTTGAATAAACGCTCCCTCTAGAGCCTCATTTTGAAATAAACGCCCCCTCGAACAAACACTCCCTAAATGATTGTAAAGAATTTTAATCAAAGCACAGTCTATTAATGTTCCACTCCAGTAGAATTACATTTTTTCTATTTTTATTGGGATCAATAAGTCTTCATTAACGCATTTGACGGTAATTGTGTTGTAGTCCCACATTTTGTTTACAGTGAAATTAAGGAGCGTTTATTTGAGTATCCATTTTATAAATAAACATCTCACGAATAAACGCCTCCCTCGAGTAGTCTCCCACTCAAAAACTCTTCTCAATAATAAACGCCCGTGCCGTTTATACGAATAATACGGTATATTAGTTTGTATCAGCTGTTGGGGAAAACCATTTGGCCACCGTCTCAGTAGTAATTCTGAGGCAGCGATTCACAACACACGGCTCTAATATGTTGAAGCCTATTAAATGTTTAAACCCAGCTTATGTGTAATGTCTCGAAAACTCTGAAAAACCTCGAAAATTAAAATGATGTTCATAGCACAACAGATCAAATTAGTAACTAATTTCCAACCAGAACAGATTTACAGAGTTTTGCCACAAACATCCTAAAATTGATTTTAATTTTCTATACAAAAGAACGTATAGTTATGTATTATTTAATTGTCTGTTAATTAAATCAAAATGATGTTCATAGCAAAACAGATCAAATTAGTAACTAATTTCCAACCAGAACAGATTTACAGAGTTTTACCACAAACATCCTAAAATTGATTTTAATTTTCTATACAAAAGAACGTATAGTTATGTGTTATTTAATTGTCCGTTAATTCATCCAAATATTTAATTGTGATCTAAACTATGCAAACAAGCCAGGCGTGGTTCGTATAAATAGACAAGGCTTATCACTCAGCCTAACATAACCTAAATTGGCCGGTTTTAATGTTCCTACACTCTTGGCGAAAATAAAATGATCTAGTGTTTTGTCTTTAATTGTTGACAGCATTAACGATTATAAATTTTGATTTGCTTTTAACAATTAGGATGCTGACTCGGGTCAAATTGTGATTTCATTTTTTGATGAGGTTTGTTCACATAGAAGTTCCAATGATTCAAAATGTTATGGCGAAAAACTAAATACAAAGACACAACAATGACAGGCCACTAAATCCAAATGTATCATCCATCAATTAGCAATATTCATAAATCTTCGTCAAAATACATGGCATAGACCTACATAAAAAAAGTTTTGTTCGCAAGTGGCAATTACGCGTGTAATAATATCTTTAAGCACTATAATTTACGGAAGCACCTAAGTGCCATTCGACTTGACGACTTATCAAGATAATTTACCGTATGTTGTCAATACGACATAATGTACATACCATTTCGACATTTTGAGATCAACTAACTTGCCAAGACGACATACAATTTGTATTATGTCGACTTGTCAAGATAATCTATCTTGGCATGACAATATAACATTTTTACTATGTCGACTTGGCAAAATAAATTGTGTCGGCATGACAACATAACACCTTTACTATGTCGACTTGACAAGATAATCTATCTCGCCATGACAACATACGATTTTTATTGGTGTACGGTAAGAATGGCCCCGGAAAAAATGGCCCAGGAAAAAATGGCCCCGGTAAAAATGGCCTCAAATGACAGGCAGGTAAAAATGGCCCAAGTAATAAAATTCTGTATTAAAACTGATTTTTTTTTAAATCATTATATGCATTTTTTTAAACTGAAATAATTTAGTTTTTAAAAGGAATCTAAACATCAAATAAATTGCCATTTACGTTTTACTTTTTGCAGAAATTACATATGCAATGATAAATATTCAAAGATAAAAAAAAAGCCATGAATAACACTTTTTATTTTTTTTTTTCCATTTAAATGTTAAAAAATAGCAACAACATAATCAATAAATCAACATAAATCATGCATTTATTATTACTAAAATAATTTATTTGTGGCCAATTTCAAAAAAGCAGAATCACAATTTTCCAGAAATTCAATCCGGGTATTGGTAAACCCCACAAACAATGAGTTTATATGAACATCAAATTATTATTATTTTGTTTTTTAGAAAAAGAGAGTTCTACAATCGTAATTAAAAGTAAAGTTAGCCTCCCTTTTCCCATACATGAACTTGTCATTCCAACACACATTTGATCCACATGCTTTAACTACTGTTTATTTGCACTGTTTATAAAATGTAAAGTTATTTCATTTGATACTTAACAAAAGTTAGTTTTGTGGTTATCTATGAGTTGCATATTTTGGTAGTACTGTATATATGTCATTCCTCTTCTTTGTTAGTGGAATAACGTTTTTAAAACTTATTTCAACTATCAAAACATGTTCAGTGGCCGTTGTTTTCTGATAATCTCTCAGTACATTATTTGCATCTGCTGTGTAACTGTATTTATTATTCATTCAATTCTTGCTTAGTACAGTATTTAAATATTTGAAGATTTTAAAAAAATAGCATTTCTATTACTGAATTTTTTCATTGGGGCCAGTTTTACCTACTTGTCATTTGGGGCCATTTTTACTGGGGCCATTTTTACCGGGGCCATTTTTTCCAGGGCCATTTTTTAAGGGGCCATTCTTACCTACATTCATTTTTATTATGTTGACTTGTCAAGGTAATCTATCTCGCCGTGACAACATAACATTATTACTATGTCGACTTGACAAGATAATCTATCTCGCTATGACAACATACAATTTTGTATTATGTCGACTTGTCAAGATAATCTATCTCGCCATGACAACATATAATTTTTATTATGTCGACTTGTCAAGATAATCTATCTCGCCATGACAACATAACATTTTTAGTATGTCGTCTTGGCAAGATAGTTGCTCTCGACATCTACAAAAAAAATTTCATGACGTACAGAATGTTGGCATTTTATTGAGAGTATTCCATAGCTCAATTTAGACCCAATAAATATATAGTAAACAACTATGGGAAAATAAATATAACATCAGGTGGTAAATCGATTTATTACAAAGCTTGGATAGAATCTGGATACGAAGCAATTAATGACATTATGATACATAATAGATTATTAACAGCTGAGAAGCTAATCCCCACATCGGTAAAAAGGGAAAACGGTATAATTGAATACTTTACACTCATAAATGCTATATCAAGTGAATGGAAGAAAGTAATTTCAGAGCATAAAATAGAGAATAACCAGTTAGATGTAATATTAAAAGAACATATTATATTTTACAAAAAAACACCAGTCTTCAGTATTTTACAAACACTTTGTAAATGAACTTGCTACTATCCCATCGGCTCAAGCGAAATGGGAATTAGAGTTCACAAATAAAAATATTGATTGGAAAAAGTCTGGTATTCTAAGGTATATTGTATGAAACACATAGTGAAAGTAGCACAATTTAATTTTAAATTATTACCGTATTTTAGCTTGTAAAAAAAACTAAAATATTGGAATCTAGTTACTGACGATTTATGTGATAAACTTAATATTAAATATTATTAAATATCTTTGCTTTCCTGCAGAGAGAACATTAACACCTCGTTTAACTTGGTTCAATATAGTCACTGGAACTCCAAAAAAGACTTATGAATGAACTTGTTTCTTTATTTACCTTTTGTACTTACAAATCACAATTCTTATTTAAACCAGCGAAGAAAAGTGAAAATCGAGAATCCAAAAATATCTGGAACCTATTTAAATTAGAACTTAAAAACCTAATAACAAATGAACACACATGCCATTTTAGTGAAGCCGAGAAGAAATGGGCCGACATAAAAGAAAAACTATCTGATTTTATAAAATGAGGGGAAAAATAACTAATCGTTAATAATTGATGCATTTAAATATAAGTGTATAACAAAATGTTATTAACTTATGATTTTTTTATATAGTTTTTAAATTTTATGTTAGATACAGGCTCGTGTTTATTGTTTTATTAAATTATCTTATTTGTATTAGTTGTTCTATATTCATGTGGTAAATGATTCTATATATTAGTAAAATATATATTTAATGTAAAGGAGAGAACGTAAATATCATATAAGTCATTTCTAATTCTAAGTATATAAGTATATAACTAAATTTATTTTTTTTCTCCATGCTCGTGTGTACAGTTTTATTAAATGATTTTATTTTTATTTATTGTTCTATATCTTAAGTTGTAAATAATTAAACTGTATATTAGTAAGAGTATATATACAGTATAATGTAAAGGAGAGAACGAAAATATAGTATAAGCCATTTCCAATTTTATCCCATTGTTTACATTGGTATTAACTGCAATGTTTGTATCTTGCAATAATAAATGTTTATAGGTGCCTAATTTAAATTATTATTAATATACTGTTGTGTGATTTTTTTTTTTTTGTGAAATGGAAAGTTGAAGAAATATGTGCTTGAAATAAATGTGGGGTTGACTCCCACAAAAGATAAAAAAGAGAGTATTCCATAGCAACAAATAGGTTCTTAGTTGTATGCTGTAAGGACAATGAATGATCGTTTCAGAGCTCCTTTTTTAGGAAGTTCGTCATTTTTTACATGATTTGGGTACATAGCTTGAAAAATCCTCAAGGGCAGTGTATTCCCCTCAGCCCCAGTGTCGACTTTTACTGTCAAATCTGCTTTGACGTTTTGTATACCTGGTAGCTGTATATCCAGTTTGGTGAATTTTTCAGTAGATGTGGCACTGTTAATATGTACCACGTTGATGATAATTGTTCCATATTTTTTTCTAACACATCGA